TTCATGTTCAAAAACAATCTTCGTCAAATGGTATATCATTAATAGAAGCTGTTGTCTCTTGGTTTTGACAGATGATTGATATAACATTGTAAATTCTTTTTACGTTGTACATAAGAATCATGGAGAAAAATTACGACCATCGTAAACAATCATATACAACGTCGTAAATGATCATGTGCGACCATATACGATTGTATTTCCTAACAAACACAGTGGTATTTCGTCGTATTACTTGACCTCAGAATTACGATAGTATCACGCCGTGTCGTGTATATGACGAAATGTGGTGTGTAAGCGACCACTGTAAACAACCGTTCATAACTGTACATGATGTAGTATGCTATCGTATTCACATAAACTTCTTCTCACTCAAAAGGAATATAATAACATTACAATTTCTGAACGGTGTTACCACACCCTACGAATAATAAAGTATCATGGTCAATGCAAATGCACAAACGAAATGAAAACATATAAAATGCTTATAGTAATTATTTGTTTGAGTGCTAGTTATGTATTAAACTGAGTAGGCAGTATATTGATTGTAAAGATGAGTGCAACTGTCGCTATATATTTTAATCTAAACATGATCTTTGAAAAAATAAATCAACATAAGTTATATGAAATATGGCATACAGATGCAGTTCCGATAAGCAAGTAGAAGTGCCAGTTTACATTTACTTTCAGTTTAATTTGTCCATACATTAAATTAACACTAATTTAAATTCAAATAAATGAAAATTCTGATAATTATAATTCATTTTAAACATAAATTATGATAGGCTTATTTTTAATACTCAAATTATGAAGCAAAATAGGTTAAATTCACAGGAAAATGACAGCTCTATAAGCAAGCGCTACCATACATTCATACATAAGATTGATACCATTTCATTGATTTTTTTATTTTATTCTCTATCGTCAAGCTGATCGATGAATACATTTATGCTGGTATGTAAGAATTGACAGTATCTGATTGAAAAATAAAATCTGAATCCCTAGAGCAGCATATAGACAGTGATGCGAGAGCGTTATGATTATTCATGCCTTCCGTGTAAAGGGAAATATGCATAGCTCTTTACCTTTCGAAGCAGTTCTGGAAAGGATCACTTGTGAAATAATCATGGAAATTTAGTATGGGTCTCTTTAATATGTCAATGATATAGAGAAATCAATACAGTACCTTGTTTTTTTTCTTTATATTAATAATATTTGTTAACAAGCACGCACAATTAAATCAACAGTTGACTTTATTCGTAGATATGAGTGTTATATGTTATTATTCGGCATGGGAAGAAAGATCCCAATATTTGTCATGATCTTGATTCTGTCAGAAACGAGCCCCTTCTATCCATCGAAGCTAGTCGGGATTCTAACATAAATATGAAATGGTATTAGTCAGTTTGTAATGACTTGCATGCTGTACTCTATAAAAAGATTTTGCCCAATTCGAATTTCTGTTCTATAAGGTTCAATGGCGACAGGATAGAAGTCGCAGTCCTCTCGTCTATACCTAATAATGACATTTAATCGCTCGGAATTAGATAGAAAGTCAACAAATATTATTGATACATAGAAAAAACAATATATTTTTAAGGTATCACTTTTTGTTGCTCTTCACCAATAACCATTTTAGTGACTAATGAGGGATAGATGGTTAATATTTTTGTCAGTTAATATAGGAACATTCGACTTTTAAGTCTCAACTGTTTGTGGTTGCCATATCAACTACTAAGATAGCTTTTAGTACATTAAATCGAGTGAAAAACACGCTTCGAACTTTTGACTTAATTATTGTTTATTGACCTATAGTTATATTCAAAACAAATCATGCCAACGCTTATATAGTGAAATATAAAAAAACAAGTCTTTTTGGATTGATGCGATAATGTAAAATAAATCACTCTTATAGCTTGTTGAAATACTTTGGGTTCCAACAATAATTTAGAAAATCTACTAATCAAGAACAGAATGAGGTAGTGCAATATTTTTTGACAACAACAAAACATAATAGTATGAAACGGTATATCACCTGAAGTTTCTCAATGTATCCCATGCCGATATGTAAAAGACGCTTTCAGGATATAAAATAAACTTGAACTGAGCCTGACCTAATTTCAAAACTTTCTCCGCCCTGCTCGTACTACATCACAATCACAACAATATTCATCAAAAAAAAAGTAGTATATGAACGTTTTTTTTCTCTATTTTAACTTCATTTAAAGTGATGTATGCTGTATTATGGTTTTGTCTCGTATATAACTTTTCCCAAATAAATTATTGTAAAGCACTTCCTAATACTAGAGCCCCGTCCTTTTGTCTTATATCATGAAGTTTTTCAATGTTATGCTGCTAGCAAGCAAAACACAAAAACAGTTAAACTAATAACATTGAAAATTGACCTTTAGATCTATATCATGAAAACTTTAAGTAATTAAAAGTTGCACGAACTAGTCCAAAGTAGCTGCAGTAGCTCATAGTAGTTGAAAGTAGCTTGAAGTAGTTTGAAGTACCGGTCAAGTAGTCCAAAGTAAGGCAAAGTAGCTAGAAATTATCTTTGAAATAGTTGAAAGTAACTTCAAGTAGCTTAAAGTATGGTTCAAGTAGCTCAAAGTAGCTTCAAGTAACTCGAAGTAACTTCAAGTCCAAAAGTACGCTGTTTTCCCCTTGAATGAATCTCTCTCTTTTTCAATAGTCTCAAATGTTTAATGATCATTATTTAATGTGCAGTCTTAATATTCTATCGTAATAGTAATTGTTTTTGCGCTTTCTCACTGTATGTGAGTTTTCATTTCAGTTACTTTTTGAATTAAAATTTTCAGATACAGGGAAACCTCTATTATTGAACACCTCTCTATAATGAACACCTCCGGTTTGAACAGAGGTTTTAGTTCCCCCCCCCCTCGATTTTTGCTATAAATAGACCTCCGCAAGATGAACACCTCCCAACTCTGAACAATGAACGCTTTTTTTCGGTCCTTTCTGTAGAAAAAACTCTCTGTATAGTGAACACACAATGATTAACAATGCATTCGTGTATGAAATAAGGAGATGAAAAAAATAGACTTTACATATTAAAGCGATGATAAGTCAATTTTTGACGGTCAATTCATCACAAGCAGCTTTGTCGTATGTATGGAATAAATAGAACAATGAAAACGAATAGTCTGCAATGAGTTAATCGATTCTATGTGAGAGAATAACACACATTTCCATCTTCGATTGTAAAATGGCGACAAAACACATGAACTTTATGTGAAAAAGTGAATTAATTCGTGAAAATGAACACAACCCTTCATATAATACACTTGCTGAGAAGTACAAAATCTCGATCGGCAGTGTGTCCAATATTGTCAAACGCAAACAGAATACACAGAAAGTTACGGACAAAATGATAAATCAACCAAGAAACGCAACTTTCGAGATGAATTTAATCAACAGCTCAATGAAAAAGTTTACGAATGGTTTGTCATTCAACTTAGTAAGAACATTCCTGTTTCAGGTTCACTCATACAAGAACAAGCCCCGCAAATTCGTCACCACCTTGGTGTAGCAAATGCTGATGATTTTACATGTAAAACTTCATTCAACCTGAAACCTCCATAAGATGAACACCTCCGTTAATGAACACTTTTTAAAAAGTCCCGTCAGTGTTCATCTTACACTCTAAAAAAATCGGTTTTACTGTATTTAAATGTCTAAACTGAATCTAATGGTATAACTGATATGTGCACCTTTTTACAGAGAGTTAATTGAACATTCAGACTATTGGTTAATTGCAACAAACAGCTGAAGAAGACTATTGAATGTTACGTCATCAGAATAAAACGAAGAGAAACAAACAGAGATTTCGCACATCCCAGTCATCAACAGATATGTAAACTCTCAAAGATGCTCGACACTATCTTTGTTTCTCTCCGTATTATCTTAGCGGCATTGTATTTATTACAGTCATTTTGAGGTGTTTGTTGTAACTTTGAGAGAATACGAAAGAACTTTAAATTGATACACATCGAAGAGGTATGGAAATGAAACAAGTGTTTGTTAATACAATGACTTGGATTTATTTTCTGATCACAGGTTATTCCTTACACTCATCAATAGTTAGTAGAGAAGGAGTTTAAGGATAACGCACGGTAGTACTGCTGTTCCGCATGTGTACGCAGTTACTCTTCTCCTTATCTATACATACAACTCGACGATTAAATAATGCTTGTAACCAACGTAGATAAACAAAAATTTCCTTCTATTTTTCTCTTTCATTTACTTCAGATATATGAATCTGTATTGTGAAAAATAGAACATTCATTTGTCTTTTTCTAGCAAGATGAATGATTCATCTTCAATTAGGAGTATGTAGCATCCGTAAAATATGATACAAGAAACTTGATCTCTGCTTGATAACGGAAGACAGATAACTTTGATTAGCATTGTACACAGAAATCAAAGAATCTTTTCAGTATCTTTCTCGGAGGATTACTTTGTTTATCTATTATTTCCTTTTTGATAAATCTTACTGCCAATTTTATTCATTTCATAATATTTTTGAAGCAAAATTATTTTACTTTTCCATCTCACAATAACGTTCTATTGACAACATTCAATAGAACGTAAATTTTATTTCAATTCAGTACAAGAAAAAAAATATACATATATAAGAACGACTAGATGGTAGAAAATAATTACATCAATCAAATACAACAAGAATAATAAATTTTGTACTACGATCGAGAATAACCTCATCGACCAATTTTCAAGAATTAAGTATAGCATTATTAAGAAAATCAAAATGATACCAAATAAAGACATGAGATAGACATAATAACAATGGTAAATTTTGTTCGTTCGATCAAGAATAATTCACTTCATCCGTTTTGTCATATTTTATATCTTTGAGTAAAGTTAATTTTTTAATATTATTTTTTTTCAAGAGAAATTGACATTAAGAATAAATATTTCATGACGATGATTGAAACTTGTTGTACAGTGCATAATAAAATTTAAACGGCTGACATAGGAATAGATCTTATATCAGCAAATGCAGAACGATTAATAGATCTGATAAAGACAATATCATTATTTTCCGACTCAGCTTCAGTTTCACTTTCAGTTTCAAAAGACACCTCAATCGATCGTGCAGGTGAATTCAATTCAGAATCTGGTGCAACGCCAACCTAAAAATTATTCAAAAAGAGGAGATTGCATAAAAAAAAAAGTAAGTCCATACCTTTGTACTAGATGTTGACGTTGGTAGAGAATGATTCGAGAACTATTAATAAACACAAACAGTATGAAATAAATGGCAGTCTGAACAGTAAATTCTCACCTTTGGTACTAGTTGAACTATTTGTAATGGTTCAGTTGTTATTACAGTCGGATTGGGTTGTACTTGATTATTGTTCACTTCGGCTTTATCATTGCAGAAGCAACACAAGAAATTCATACTCATCTGTAAAATAAAAAGAATTTATACAAATGTTCAAAAACTTACATAGTGTATGATCACACAAAATAAAACGTGGACAGAAGAACATAGAAGAATATCAAGATGCACTGTTTATCCCCTCTCTGGAAATTTGGAATCGTAAAAAAACCTTTTGAAATTTACAGATGAAAAAATTAATCTGCACAATTATAGCCAAAATATGTGCCAAAAAGTCTACCTGGAATATAGATGGCGCTACTTAACATTACTATCGAAATCTTTTTAATAAATGATATACAAAATTATTTTTTATTTCACAGCTTTTATTGATTCGAAGTAGTCAACCACCAATCTTGATTCCTATAACTTGACTTACACAAGAAGACGAAATTCAGCTAGAATGTCCATTTTCTAGTACCCATTTAAATTGAATTTAGACAGTATAATGTACAAAGCTTGCAATTCTAACGGAGTATGATAATATTTTATCGTAATATAGAAATAATCTTAGTGTTATATCTTGTTTTAAATGACAGTAATCTCTCATTCTTTTTCATACATACGAGTTTATCGGAGTATGAAGAGCATTACTGATTATTACTGCTAATTACAGTATATTACGTAGAATAGTTTTTAACGTTTGGTCGAAAAAAGATAAATATTTTGGAAATTTCCAAGAAAGATGTGTCAATCCTGATATATCGATAGAACTATCCCTAATGCTTATTAATAAATGAAAAATGATGTAGAAAAAAACGTTTTGATGAATGTACAAATTCTACCTGAAAAGTTAAATTAAGATGATAGTTTGTTGACGACATATCAGCTGCTTTTCCAATATTGTTGAACTATCAGATTAATCAGTGCGCATGTATTTTGAAAGTTATACTATTATACTCAATGCGCCAAGCCATGTATATATATATATATATATTAATCTGTTTTGATTGATTGGGTAATTGGATCAACGGTTGCCTTTGTATAATAGGCTATGGAAACAAAAGCAGCAAACAAATAAGCTATAGCCACCATATGCATAAACAATAGAATTCAGTCATGTTAATCTAGTTTGAAAGAATATACGGTTGAACTTATTGTGACATACACAATTTTATATCTTCATATACTTCGAACAATGATTTACAGTTGTTTTAGAGCTTAAGCTAAAGTTTTGATCCGTACTTATTGCAAACAGTTTCAAGACTGTATAAAAATAGTTATCGAATTCCTTTCTTTCTTCAGGTTTTATATTTGAAAATTGAAACACTGACATCTTAGTAATATGATTTAAGAAAAAGACGAAACGTTTTGACCGTATCTTTGCCATGCATCTAATGTCTGATTCTACCAACAAACAAAATAAAGCTATAAGACAGACTGTCATAGATTTGACAGAAAAATTTCCAGGCAATCCATCGATTTCATTAGTAACTGACTGTTTGGTCGCTAACTTTCTACTTTCAGATCACGTAAGCGAAGGAAAACACCTATCAAACAATGAGAAAATAATTGAGAATCGGTGAAAATTAACATATTTCTCATCAAAATAGTTAGCAACGAAAGCAGGTGCTCAAGAGTGAGTTTCACACGTAAACTCTAAACTTCCTTTTTGAATTTGCTGAATCCCGATTATTCATTATTGAGTCTTTCTAATATGATTGGTTAGAAATTATTTGTTATCCATATGAAGAAATTGAATTTTCAGATTCATTTAATCAAGTATTACAACAGATAGCATGATTTGTCTCATAACTGTAACAAATCATACAAACTAGATTGTCGAGTGATAGGCCATTTCAGAGTTTTGATAGCAGCAATTTATTTTCATCTGATCCTTTTAAGGTGAACCGATTTATTTTGGACAAAATTTGCTTTTTATACTCTGAAGATGAAAATACTTCATGTATGTTGGATTACATAATGATATAATTCAATATAGAAGATTTATTATGTTATTTACTCAATTAAAAGATTATTTCGTTGAATTTTTCAATGTTTTATACGTGTTTTTATAATCAAATATACGACAGTCTATGTTATACTGAAGAGAATATTGTCCGTTATCAAGTAGGTTAAATAATGAACTTCAATGTTTTTTTATCAGATTTGCATTAATCAAACAAGATAATATTGAAAATATTTAGTTATTTCAATTGATTTGAATAACATTGTGTTTGATAATGATTTGTCAAAGGTCCAACCTAATTTAATCATGATCATAAATTTTCTTTTCGAACAGTAAACTTACTACTAATCCATTTGATTGCCAATGGTTATTTGCGTCTAAATAATAACAACCTGATGTATAAATAAGAATTTTATAATTTGATGTAAAATCAAATCTTTTATCTATAATTGGTGGATCAGTAATCGGTTGATTAGAACAAATGTATTTCGTTTCTGTAGAATTTAATTCTCGTAATCCAAAGATTACCAATTGATGATTAATTGTACGTTGATTATCAATGAAATATGTATACAGACTATCATCTTTCAAATTTGAAGGACAAAATAAAGATCATCCATCAATAACATTCATTACACTGTTTAATATCGGTAATTGATCAAGTTTGTAAATGAATAAATAAGCACGACTTTTGTTTAAAGGATGTGTTTCAAAGTGTACTGAGACAGGAAGAATACTTGTGATATTGATGAATTTAAGATAAAATAACTGATCATGTTGAATATCATTAGTCGAAATAACATCTTGTAGAAACATCGGTGGGATAATTAGATTAGGATCTCGAGGAATAATTAATTCAATTGGATGATTTGAATCTGTTTGAATAGGAAGTTCATTGTTATTTTCATTAAGAATGGAAACTGAAACTGATCTTGAAAGATTTATATTCCATCGAAATTTATCAGCTCATGCAAGTGATTGAATTATTGACTATAAACAAAGAATGAAAGCAGTATAAATTAGTTTAATAAAAACAAACTCGAAGTGAAACGATCGTATCATTTGTGATATTTGACGTGAAATTTAACGGTATATAAATCTGACTATTTTCAATTTGTTCAATAGATGCATTTGAAAGGGATCCAAATGATGTATTTTTAATGTTATAATGACAGATGATATCATTTGACTTCCGACGATCTTTTTGTTCAATGCGTGCAATACTGATATTGCTAGAACATTAATTGTGCAAAATCAAATATAGATAATGTTGAATTTCAATTGTAAATAAGATTAGATTTAATTCGAAATAGTGAGAAATGCAACTTTTTTTTATTTAGTTTCCAAACGGTGACTAATCTTTAAGATAAGATATGTTGAACATTTTATTATTTTAATAAAAGAGACATACCATACTGATTCATCTTTGCTCTCTTACTAATAAATATTATCCTCAATTAATAATGCATGTTTCATTTTTGAGATTTGATTGTGTCTTTTTTTTTGCGTGATTCAAACAATGATGTTATCATTTTCTTGTTTAAAGACTAAAGTATTTGACTGTACTCTGTTTATTCTTATAGAGAAAATTAAACATTAAACTTTAAAAAACAAAAATGTTCTGAACAAAAATTTATTAACCATCTGCTTTGTCCCTGGCTTCACCATTCTTTAAAGGATATTGTTGTTTATTTGCATCATCGTCAGATACAATTATTTAGTCAATAATATGTCCATGTTTTTTTAGCTTCAATTTTGATTGTTTTATCGGTCTTTGTTTGTTGTTTTCTTTTATGTTTGTGATTAGAAATCTTTCATTGATAAACTCTCAATATTTCTCATGTATTCATTATCGTTCTTTTCTCGCTGAATACTTTATGCTGTGTGAATTACTTCTCCATACGGAACACCCTTGAAATCCAGTAAAAATATATATGTATACGAAGATAGAAAAAGAAGGTTTAATATTTTTCTAATAGATACATGCTGTTGGTATGATGGTTTGCTTTGTGTCGGTAAGATCGCGAAATCGCCAGGAGGTATCTGAATAAATACTAATACTCTTTATAATCAAAAATTTCCAGTTCCATGCAGAGAAACAGACAGAAATTGGGACAATTATTTGACATACACTTTGTAAAAAATTGTTTCCTATGGATATCATTTACATCAATCAGTATAGAAATGTGACGATTAGTCATTGTTGCTCAAATAATTAGCTGAATGAAAATATTATTATCGTTTTTAAGTCAGTGTTATTAATGTCATTGCATAGCAGACGATCTTTTGAAAAACAATTAAATCACATCTCAATTTTTTCTCTATTTGAAGAAATAATAGTTTAGAAAATACAAATTCACACGAAAATATCGATTAATAACTGTCATGTATTGCTTTCTTTATAAGTTATTCCTACCAAGTTCGGTCGAAACCATTTTTGATCTGACCTGAAATGGTCATTGTTAAATATCTTTACAAAAAAAGCAGCTATTTTAATAAGGTAATTTTACAACATTAGATTTTTTAGAAGTGGAATTACATTTATTCATCTAATAGCTAGTTAGATATTGAAAAAACCTTCAAGTTTAATGTCAGCATTATTAGCTGATGTTGCAATCCAAACTGTATATTTTCCAGAAGCAATAATCCATTTTTGATTGACAGTATTCCAATAGGAAATATCTCGTTCTGTTAATACGAGAGTCACTGTCTTTGATTCACCTGCTTCCAAATAAACTCGTTCAAAACCGCGTAAGATTTTAGGTGGTTCAGCTGCTTCTTCTGGAAAACTAAGATAGAGTTGTGGCACTTCAGATCCATCGACATTACCAATATTAGTAATAGTAAAAGTTATGCTATAAACAGATTCATAGAATCTTAATAAAGCTTTATTACTATAGGAAGATACACGACGTTGTCTATATAATGATTGACTAATATGATTTTCTTGACCAACTTTTGAAATCATCAATGCCGAAAAAGAGAATGTTGTATAGGAGAGACCATAACCGAAATAATATCTTGGTATAATATTATTTTTATCAAAATGTCGATAGTCCAAGAAGACACCTTCTGTATAATTAGAATTATACGTTTCAGTAATATTAGTACC